CGGCGCCTCGCCGCGCCCCCGCCCCCCGCTCGCGTCTGCGGCGAGTGGCGAGACTGGCTGATAAAGTTTCAAACGACGAGCCCGGCGAGCGATAAAGGCCGCCTCGCCCACAGCCCAATTCCCCAGGCGCGGCGCGCGCGGGCAGCCCGAGAGCTCTGCGCGCCCCCCGCGCGCCCCTGTCCTCTCCGCTCCCCGCCGGGCGCACTCGAGGGAGGGGGCGCTGAGCCAGGCGGGGGTGGGGGGATCCGGGTGGATACAATATGGCAAGAGACGTCTGAGGCGGGGAAGGGGAACTCCCCGGTGGCTTTGAGCAGCCGCGGACACTGGCACCCTCAGGGAAGCTCCCGGTCAAAGAGCATCTGGGGGTCTCGGCCGCAGGAGCGCGCGTTCCGGGTAGGCGAGGCTGCCCTCCGGCAATCAGAAGTCCCCCAACAAGCGATGCGGGGAGACGAGCGGGAGGATAAGATTACTGTGCCCAGGATACAAGAAGCCAGGGATGATTTTCAACTCGTTGCTTCGCTTCTCCCGGACGCTGGGAAGAAGAGCGAGCACTTGTAAATTTGGAGCTGCCGCGTCTATGGAGGGCAAGGTTGGGGAGGGCGGGGCCCGGCCTCGGGGAAATGAAGACCTGGCTTCGATTCCTCGGTGTTGGGCTTATATAGACAGAGCCCTCAATAAGGGGACCCGGAAGGGTCCTTGACCTGGGGACTTTACCCAGCAGTCTCGCTCAACACACCCGGGAAAGATGCCGTTTTTACGCATACCCAGCTCCTCCCTGGCGCTGCGGAGCGCAACAGCACGCGGGGAGAAACCAAGGCTGCCAGGCGTGTGCGCCCCGGGGCTCTGGATGCACCTCCAGCCGCCCGGGCGCCCAGCCTGTGCGCCTAGTGGAGAGAGATGGACCCGGGTCCTGGACCTGGGCCCCCGCACAGCCGAGAGCGAGGGGCTCGGCCCCGCGGGTGGAGCATCTGAGCAGCCGCTGGCTTGGAGCCTCGCCGTTTATCACCGGAAAGGAAGGAAGACCAGGAACTCGCGGCGGCCGTGAACTGTTCCATTGCTCTTTTCCTGGGGCGGAGGGACCCGCCACCCGCCCGGGGAGCGTGCTCTGGGG